TTCTCCTGCATGACTATTTTCCCTATTGTATCCTCACTTTCTGGATCGTGTCGTCCGCATAGGGCCCGGAAAGAACTGATCGTGATAGCACCTGATATTAGAATGATGTCTTCAAATACTTCATAAACAAAGGCTGTATGTTATGCTGTTTGACATTTACTTACAACTACAGTTAGAGTTAGAGTAGAATGACAATTGTCTTAAGAATGGTGGAATTCTTTTAATATGATTTTTATTCTAATTGAACATGTCCGACCACAAATTCATTAATGTTTTCTGTATGGCATACATAGCAATCAATAGTGTTCAGAATATTAGTCCTACATGTTATCGCAAAAAGTGAAATAAATTATTCCATATTTGTATGGTTATGCTTTGTCATTTTAATGATTGTACATGTTGTATTACATTTAGGGATACACAAATAAATCTAGAAAAATAATTTCACTTTGTTTCGTAACTGCAAGTGTTTCCCATTGTTCAGTCTATGATTTGTTCTTTAAATGTTAGTGTATTTTTCATTATATTGTATTCCTTATACGAAAACTACAAATTCTATGATGTGTACATACAGCATATCCAGAGCACGTTTTATGTTATGCAATGAAGCTCTGGGATAACAGGTTATAACAATGCATTGAAGTGGTATGCATCCCAGTAAATCTGGGACTGCTTTTCAAAATGTTTGCTGACATTTTAAACTTTTATCCTGACAACTTATGATCTGCTCAACTGCCAGTAAGCCAATCAATGTTGTACACTCGAGCTCAGAATTCTTGATTCATTTAGAGTGCCTGCCTTCTTCAGAGCTCTGTTACATTAAATTGCAGAATTCCTGTGGCAAAGCACTCAACTTCTACATTATGCTTCACCTATTTAACCAGTGAGCTGCACAATTGTCAAGTCCTCCACATAACCCATCAATTTATTAACCAGTATATTACACTAACCAGACAGATTTAGAAATACAACTGTCCTTATGGTTCTTCAATATGACAACTGAAAAAAATTGAAAGTTCCAGGCTATGTAAAATTGTTTTTTTAATTGTATAATTGTGTCAGTGGACATTACCAGGAAAATGGAAAAGAAAAACAGATATGTAAAAGTACATTAGCAGTGAATTGAAGAGGCACTGCCTATTCAAACATTTAATTATTTTAGATAAGGCTATTGAATATTTGAAAGTTTGTCTATGAAGGATCCTGTTAATTCAAGTTTTTTAGATCTCTTAGCTTAGTCACTGTTTTCCATTTGCAGAAAAAATACACAAAGCCTTTGCTTTTTCCTGTTTTAAAAAAGACTAGCAAAATGCACAGTATTTGAGTTAAAACAGTGTTATTATGCTAAATGCTGAAGATATCTATTTATATATAGTAGAGAACAAATCCCGCAGATCCTGCCTTGGTCTTCTAAGTTTAGTGTTACAGTTTGTTTAACCTCAGTATTTTTGTTTTCAATGCAACTGACGTTTCTGTTTTTATTTCATTGTTGTAACTTCAGTTTTTTTTTTCTATTAGGCTCATGTTTAAAATTAGTCCAAGAATATTTTAATGCATATTTTTATTATTAATTGAATGTTAAAAATGGCTAAGCAGTGATCATTTTAAGCCCTATTATATCTTTCGGTTGAAAAGTGGGGCTTGTCAGCTTCCACTGAGATAAAATGTTCTTAATGACAATGTGAGTAAAAATAGAAACTGAGAGAGGAACTGAAGGGAGCTCAAAGAAAAAAGCTAGAAAAAGTGTATACAACCTCAAAGTCAAACAAACAGGCTCTCTCAGTCTCTTTGAAGAGATGTTTTATACTGACATTTTCACTTTAGCATTTAGAAAATAGTTTATAAGATGTCACAGCAAAGTAGGGAATGAAATCTGACAGAAGTTGTATGCTGATATTAGAAAACATTTACTAGTTCATGTTTTGATTACAAAGGGAACATATCAAAAAACAAAATGTTCCAGTCCTGCAGTATGCATTCATTTTAATGGTGAGTACTTAAATGATCTTTGACAAATGGACTCCTTCTGCTCAGGAAAAAAATATTTATTAAACTTGGAGTTGGCCATAGTTGGTGTTAAGGCAGTATAATTCCACCTCATGAAGGTCAGATATTTCATTACATTTCAATGATACAATATTACATAAAGTAGAGGAAGATATAACGAGTAAAGGTAAGAATAGCATTTGATATATCTTACTAAACATGTTGTAAAAATAATAACATAGATCAACTTATTGACCAAGATATAATCAAGCATTTTCTTCATGGAACTTCAACTATTATCTGTCAAATTAGTTTTCAGTGTAGCTACTGCCATGTTATACAACAATACAATATTGTGGATGAGGCACAAATACAATACTATTTTCTAAGTAACCATTCTGTTAGTGATGCTTGTCATTTCAGTTTGGCATGCAGGAAGTACATGAGTCAGGGCCTAAAGATGAGTTTGTGTGAGTAAGTCTATCTTTTTCTTTCTGTACTTTTTTATTTTCTTTTTCTATAGTGTTGGACAATGTTCCTCCTATTGTATTTACTGTACTCAATGAGGAACCATAAAGCGAAATAGCAATGCTGTTAGTAACTTATTCAGTTAATGGAGTAAGACTTGCCTGATTCCTACATTTATCGGATTGGGATTGTAGCACAACATAGTACTTTGTACTGCTATACTTCTCTTATAAAACAGACGAAATGACCAAAATGACACATTGCCACAGAACACCGTATTCACTGAAAAAATTAATGAAACTATGCTTAATCATTTATGAAGCTAAATGGAACGTAAAATATAGTGTTAAATTGATAATCTAGGTACAGTAGTTTTCATCCTTCTACTTGTGAAAATCTGAAAGAAATAATAATAATAATAATAATAATAATA